TCTCTTGGAGTTAGGGGTAGGAATGAGGATTAACTGTGACTGGATATGAAGGATCTTACTGGGATGATGAAAATCTTCTAAAACTGGATATAGCGGTAGTTGCACAACTTGGCAAATTTACTAAAAATCATTGAATTGTATACATAAAATGGGTGAATTTATGTTATTTAAATTGTATCTCAGTAAGGTTGGTTTCTTTTGAAGAAAGAATTCTTAGAGACACAGCCTCAAATAAGGTAAATATTCCTCTGGATCCTCAGAGTAGGAAGAAACTTTTTCTGTCTCTGAAAATCCCTAACACTCTATTCATATTTTGATGGCTGTAATTAGGGCTGAACATCACAGTGGAAAGGACCAACTTGGCCAAGTCACAAGTTTAAGGAAAGAAGTTTGTATTTCAATCAGACCTTGATTTACCTATGCTCTTTGCAGAAGGGGACAAACAGACATATGTTTTCTCCTCCTTTTGCCTTTTCTCTACCCAGATAACAGTCCCTTGGCTTTGACTTTAAATATGCTTGGTTGTATTAGAGCTTTTACCGAAGGAGATTTGAGGCAAACTGGGAAGAAAAAATAAGGACCTTGACTACTTTGGTTGCATACTTTAACTGCTAGACATGTTGGCCTATAGTGAGATATGAATCTTTTTAGTCTTTTCTTTAACATAATGCAGGTACATGCAGATAATAATTTATCATTAGGTATCTTATCTTTTAAGAAACATAATGACCAGCATTGTCTGAGAAAGTAAAATCCTAGCAAGTTAGAGACTATGTTTAAATAAATCTTTGTGTGCTATGCCTCAAGTACTTAATAACCAAAAATGATTATGGATATTCTGAAATCCTAGGATCTATCTCATTCAGATAAATTGTGCAAGTATTTCACCTCACTGAAGATCATCACTCTTTTAAAAGAAATTTAATGGAAACTCATTCTTTAATCCCAGGTTTTAACATTTAGCTTTCCATCCTTTAAATGGCACTGCTTTATAAACTCTGACAAAGAGAAATCAAAAGTACCTAAAGGACCCTATCTCAAATGCTCACCAAGATTCTGTTATTGGCAACTTAACTTTCACAGTGAACACACTTTCTTATAGAAAAGTACAACCTAGTTCCTTGTCAATCCATTTAAAAGTTATTTTTTCATTAATATTAGTCAAGGTACAGAGAATTCAAAGAGCTAAAGCCATTTGAAAAGTGAAAGATATTACAAACCCAGAGGATAAACTGGAATTGAGAGGAGATGAGAACTTCCCAATATACAGGAGAATCTACTACAAAGAAGGAAAACAAACAAAAAACCTCCCCTCAGAAAAGTCACCTTTTGAGAACTTATCCAGCAACTCTCCTAGCTTTACACTGCCAAAGATATGATGCAGAAATAAACAGCAGTGAAGGAGCAGCTCTGGATGTAAATAAGGTAAAAAAAAATATTGTCAGTGTATCTCAAGGTTTATTTTAGTCTTACCAGGGTCACACACACTGAAATAGCAGGTGACATTGTAAAACAATGAGACAGAATCTGAAATCCATACATCAAAGCAGAGCTTGATTTTGGAGACACATTTCAATACTTCTAAGAATTAAAGCATAAACCTCCAGTGACTTTTACGGATATTGAGAGATAAGATGCAGTGTTTGGGAAGTTTCCAGCTATCTAGAATGATTTGTTAATGCTTTTCCCCAAAAGTACACTGAATACAATCAGCTAGAATCTGAAAATAAAGTTTTAGCTGGAGGGTATGCTGCCCAACCATAACATTTTTATAAGTGGCAAGATTCCCAGACAAATTGTTAACTAATCAAAACCTGGCATTTTCAATAAATGTAGTATTGAGCCTCAAGGTAACATATAACTAAACTTGTGTACTGGGGGAATCCGATGGAGAAGTACACAGAATTGTAGATCAATACTCCTGTTTACAAAGTCTAGAATTTACTTACATAAGAGCTGATGTTCTGAGTTGGGGGGGGGTGGCACAAGGTGTCAAGTATTCTGGCATCATTCTCTTTTCTTAAGAGAAATCATTTCACTTTATTCTGATATTTTCTTAAAGATACATACCAGAATAAAGTAATCTTCCCTCTCCCCATAAACATATTAGCTGATTTTATTGCATTGAATTAAGTATGGCTCTATAAATATAGTATTTACAAATATTTAAAGTATTACAAATATGGCCAATTATTTTAAATTGTCAAATCCACATGTTAAATATCTATCATCTATACAGTGTGTGATTTTGGCTATTAACAGTTCACTAAATAGAGCAGTGAAATAGTACTCAATAGTCAAACAACTTTATATTTGAACTCAGCAGCTAACTTTATTTCTGCCAGCAGATTTTTTTTTCTATTCTAAACTTTCTGATGACACAGAAAACCAGTGAAAGGAAACATCAGACAGAAACTGAACATCATCTAAGTGTTATTAGTTCAGTTCAGGTAGTTAAAGAGTCCAGATGTTGTCATCTGGTACTGTCAAAGGATCACAAGCAAATACTTAAGTTTAACTTCCATAACTTTCATGGCACTTTCAAGTCCCACTCCTAAGGCTCTCCTCCCACTCTCAAATTTGTGTGCCAATTCGTCTTCTTGTAGAACAGGGGAAATTACATTTCTTCTGTCTTAAAGGTAGATGCATAGAAAAGCATCAGATGTCAGTCATCTTAAAATCCTCTGGGAAGAGGCTCAGAAATGTGTATCTCTGGTGTCTTCTACTTTTATTTTCCCATCCTGTTAGGAAGTTTTGGGACAGAAAGATGCCTGAGTCCCAAAGGCATAAGCCTGACGCTGTGCTATTCCTAAGAACCCCATTAACTCCCACTAGAAAGGAGAGTGATGTGAACTGTTTCCCAGTGCAACCTTCTGTAACCCCCTTACACAAACACTAGAGGTGGAATGGGAAGGGGTCAAAGGAGGAGGAGAGAAAAGGGTGAGGGGCGGGGGGAGAGACTCACAGCTCCTACCAGTTCCTCGGTCAGGCACAACGTAACCAGGAGCAGCCACAACCTGAAAACAGGAGGAAGTGTGAGTAACATGGGCTCTCAAGGCTCCGGGGTCCTACGTCTGGCCACAATCCCCGACCCCTTTTGGCTGCCTGCCCCCCACCCCTTTCTCTACAAAGACATAATTACAAGTATAGTCCCAGTTCTGCAAAGTAGCTCAAAGTAGAAAGAGGGAGGGGAGCTCAGGGCAGCAACAGCTCACCCAGTGTGCATGCTTGCGGCTTCTCCAGAGCTGGGTCCCGGGAGACAGCTAAGCGGCTCCACAGCCCGGGCTCATCAGGGCTACGCTGATGCTTGGCGGCTGCTTCCTTAATCAGGAGGACGGGTAGGGGGGCGAAGTAGCTCACTTCAGAAGAAACTAAACTCAGCTTCTAGAAAGGAAGTGCCCCAAAGGGAAACAGTCAGCGGTGCCCGCTACAACTTGCAGCACTTAAAAAAGATAGTTCCATACAACAGGAGAGGAAGGAATGGAGGGGAAAGGGGCGGGGCTGCCTGCTGTCAATCATCCCCCCTACCTTGGGCAGTCCGGCGTCTTTCTCACTTGCAGACACCTCTGCACATAACATTCCCACGCATCTCCATAGCTTCACGCTCAGGGTCATAGAGACCTATACACTAAGATCTAAGCAACTATGCAGCGTACACTTCCATAAACCACTGTTAACTCTTACACATAAATACATTTAGGGCACAGGACTCCTAAAGATTCGCCCGGAAGTGCCCTTGCACACTCGTCCAAGTGCATATAACACTCATTCTGATTGTCTACTAAACTCTTGGTGGGTGGTGGTGGTGGTGGTTGTTTCTGGAGTTGTAAATCTACCCAAAACTGAGTAGAACCTAAGGATGAGTGGGCCCCCATGAATAGGTCCAAAGCCTTGCCAGACTCTCAAGTGGCAAATTCTAGGTTCTGAGATAACAGAAATGTTCAGCAAATCCCCAAAAGACCCTCCAAGGAGTCCACACAAAATATTTTCTGGGCCTGTTGGTTACTTAACAAATCTGCAGATCAGGATTACCAAAGCAATGCTCAAGTCTACTTTATTTCGGAAACATCAATTCTACTGCCATTAACTCTACATCAATGTTTCCAATTAGGTGTTTGTGTTAGTTTTAAAGAAAATAGCACGAAAGTTATTTAATTTCCTGTATTGAATCCTTCGGAAACACAACCGCAATGAATTTCAATGCCTTTTATATTATTCAATATAAAAGGTAAAAGTTATAGCATTTAGCAATGCTATAATAAAAAGATGACAGTATTACAATAACATCCAACCATATAATAATTACTAATACCTACTGAATGCTCCTCAATCTTAGATGTTTAAACACGCATAAAAGCTTCATGTAAGTAGGTTCATTTTCCTAATTCTTTGGTTGTAAGAATATATTTAATTATGTAACATATATATATACACACAATTCTAATATTTTTCACATATTTTATTGAATGTAGACACTTTCCTGCGAGCAGGTGGAAGGCAAACAAGTCCAGCTGCCCAGGGAGCAGCGACCAAAATTTGTTTCTAACCATTAACAATAAAAATCTCAGTTTCCTCTAAGATCCATCCGCTAAAAAAGTAGTCCCCGCTCCGGTCTATTTGTAGTTGGCTTTGGTGCTCTCGCCAATGGGAGTGGAACTGGTCAGGGAAGAGTAATAGCAAAGGAAGGTGCAAGTGAACGAATAGAAAAGCTTCCCGGTTGGGCTCATGGTGCCCAGCCAACTGGTCTGGAAGTTTCCCTCCCCCAAATAACTGAGCGTCACTCCCTCGCAGGTTGCTGGTGCAGTCTGAAGCGGTGGCGGACTGATCCTCAAATTCCCCAGTGCTGGCGGGGAGGGGGCGGTGCGGGAGGAGACTGGGAGGAAAGTTGAGCCGTGGGACTTGCATGAGGAAAAAGTTTGCAAGTCCAGACAGAAGGGAAAAGTGCTCCCGAGAGACGGGCTTTGGGGAGGGGAGAGGGGAGGGAAGACGAGTTCTCTCTCTTTCTTTTTTTTTTTTCCCACCCCCTCCACTTTTAAAAAGCTTCCTCCTTATCTAAGCTGACGGGCACACTTGGGACTCCCTCGCTGTCCTTCTCCGCCTCTAGCTCTCTCCCCATAAACTCAAGATTATGTCAGTTGATTAGAACTAGCCAGGGATTTCGTGCGGGTGTTGAAGGAGCTGCGGGAGCCGGAGAAGAATGAAACTGCGTGGAGTCACCCTGGCTGCCGGCTTGTTCTTACTGGCCCTGAGTCTTTGGGGGCAGCCTGCAGAGGCTGCGGTAAGTCCTCCTTCTACCCCCCACTCCTCCCCCCCAACACCAGTCATCTCACTCTCGGGCAGAAATTACTTTTTTGTCCCTTTACCTTCGTTTCTCCTCGGCCTTGGCTAAGGGCATTCCAATCTGCCTTCACTTGCTTAGGAAGAAACATTATTTACAACGCTGGTAACTCAAGCCTTCTCCAGCCCAGGGGAGAGGTTTATGTTTTAAAATAGGGCCGCTGGCTTCCCTACAGCTAGCTGCTCTTAGTGGGGGTGTGTGTGTGTATGTGTGTGTGTGTGCAGAGTGGAGCCGGGGTGGGGGACGCACGTTAATAGCTCACTAGGCTCTGGAGGGTCTTTGAAACTTTTCCTCCCCACCCTCCGCCCTCGGGTTGTTTCCCTTTCCTGCCCGCTAACCTTTACATTAGTTGCACACAGCCCACGCACTCTTTTAAACCTGGTCTGTAGTTGAATATTTTGCCTTTTCTATATCCAGCTTCCATCAAAGTGCTGAGCGCGCCCAGGAAGTGCTTCCCTTTTGCCCCTTCCTTAGGCCACACGAACCTGCCACTAAAGCCCTTGTAGAGACAGTGTCCCCCTTTTGACGTCCTTATGGCAAACGCGCAGGTAACACACCAAAGAAGAAGGAGGTAAAGATGGATGGCTTCAGGCTTTGGGTCTTCTCCGAGTTGTGTTTTTGTTTGTTTGTTTGTTTGTTTTTAAGTTCGGGGTTTTTGCTTGTTTACTTTAAAAAAAATGTCTTACTGAGGCACCTAAACAAATAGAAAATACGCCCGTCACCCATTTAAAGGAAAAGAATTCTTTTTTCAAAGGAGAGTGAGTATTCTGGTTTAAAGGACAGAGGAGGATGCACCTGTGCAATGACAGAGCAGAAAGTTCCACTCAGTTTTAGGAATGTAGAATTAAAACCCCAGTATATCTCCTAGAAGGATCTCTGGGTAGTCCCACCCACTGTCTTTCTGGGGATGAGGCAGATGTAAAGGAATGAATGGCTTTGTTAAAGGAAATGTTCTCCAGCCTGAAGCCCATCATCCTTCACGTCCCTTAACCTTGAAAGAATTAAGTATGCGACAAATTATTTAAAAATTACATTTAAGTGATCTTAATGGGTGGTTTTAAAAACACTTTAATGTGAGATCATGGCTTAGGCCTTCCGTGGTTGGGTGACTTATCAATTCTTTATATATGCAGCTGCTGTGTTATGGCTTATCTGGGTCCACGTTTAAGTTAGCTGTCTGGTTTCTCTATACACTCTGCATACCTCAGATTACATTGTCCTTTTATCCTCCAGAAAATGTGTACTCAAGGTATGAAAACTAACTTTCACATTACTCTAAGCACAATGTAATTATGATAGCGAGTCTTCTGAAGAACCATGACTATCAACCACACTTGTAATTGTTCCTCTGAAAAATTAGAGATGACTTGAAATTGCTTTTTTGATGCAGAGCATCTTAATGGGGTAAGGTTTTGCCACTTAATAGTATTTATAGACCCCTGGATAAAACTACAATTGTGTTGTTGAATGTAGTTACTTTTAAAAACTTTTAAAAACATCTTGGAGCTTATGGCATTTGGCCCAGGGGCAAAGATTTTGTGGTGTTTGATTAAATATTTCAATTTTTTACTTTGATGTTGCTATTAGTAAATGTGCACCCGATATTAGTCATACAGGTACGTATAACAATACATCAATTTGTATTAAAACAATTTATATTAAAAGTGAGATTTCTTTTTATGGGTGACAAAACTTGGGAGCAAGCTTGTTTTCTTGGACTCTTAATAATGGTTCATGAAGTAGTTACAGAAGATATGCAGTTTTTTTTCCTTTTTCTTTCTATATAGTTTTAAAAGAACATTTTATATCATATTTCTCTATCGTTAAGACATTGTGCCTCTAATAAAGCCAGGGGTTTGTTTTTTTCTACTTCACACATCAATATCCTAGTTAGGTGAAATGTTTTAATCATCTCAAAGATATGAATGGTATCTTCTATCCATATTAGTGCTGGGGATATTGGTGACCTTCTCCAGAGTAAAATGGATGGTAGTGGGGTTGCCTGATTGTTGACTGAAGTAGTCTGGTATTGGGACTTTTATATCAGGAAGAACACTGATACAAGAACTGCTTTAATTTTTCATAGTTAAATGATATATCTCTGAAGTCATGCCAAATGGGGATATCATAAATACGTGGAAGATTTTTTTTAGACAGAGTGATTACTAGGTGGAAAAGAGTAACCTTAATGCTGAAAAGGTTAACAATATGAGAAAAAGGCAGGTTTACGTTGCAAAGGTCATTTCTAGTGGTGGAAATAACATATTTTTATGTAAAGGTGATCATACCCATGCTTACTATCAGTAGGATATGCACTTAGATTTATGGATATGGTGTGTAAGATTGTACTACCCCCTACTATACAAATGTTAGTGTTTTTGGGCAGTGGAGTGGATAGGTTTCTCTAATTTAAATATGCTATTTCTCTTGTGACCAGTGGCGACGACATACTGAGGGTAGTGCTGTCGTTTGTGACCTGGAACAGTTTTTCCTTTGAAGTATACTATGAATTAACTGCTCTGTAGGTAGAATTGTTGACACTGTGATCATAACTTAAATATTTGAGTGTTTACTACGGGCCAAGCATAGTGCTAATATGCAATGTACATTATCATATATAGTCTTCACAACAGACCTAGGAGATATGTACGATTGTTGTCCCTGCTTTAGAGATCAGGAAGCTACGGATCGTAGATTAGGTAACTTCCAAAAAAAAATCACATAGGTACTAAGTTGTGGGGCTGGAAATTTTGACAGTTTGACTCCAAATTCTTTACCCTCAATGACTGGACTATAGTACCTCCTTTTGTATGTGGTTTATAGAGACTTACTTGCTGTTTTGAGTGTTTGGATCTCTGCTACTTTTTTTTTTGGTGGGGGAAACACAGGACGTGAAATGGAAATGATAATAGGGATTATATCTCTTCCTGCTGATGTTAGAGAAGTAGCATCTTATAATGGAAACAGCTTTGGACTTACAATAAGAGATCATAATAGAGATCAGTTTGATCTTTGTACATATGTCTACATATAGAGATATAATTTAAAAGCAATCTAGAAGCAATTACTTGTTGAAGGTGTGATTTTATACTATCACATATAAAAAGTTAGATTTATAAAACAACTATTATTTGTGGTGCATGATTATTTTAAAGAAAGTCTTGCTTTATTTTTCTTTTAATTTGTCAGTTTCCCTAATAATTTTATATATGCTAAACTTTTCAGTAGCATGTCTATTATGATTAAACAGGGTATGTGTATATGGTGGCTCTCTGCTTAAATTGCCCAGTTCACTTCTGTTTTTTTTTTTTTTTTACCAATTTACCTAACCATTGTATCAAATTCTATTTACTCAACTATCTAGATAATTTTAGTTTTGTGTATATATTTATAAATGAGTTTATCCTTTGTGTAAGAGTGTGTACATTTTTTCTGTGTTTTTATTTTACTTTTAATGTCTATATGTTCAACACTAGACTCTTGACCTTGTGTTAACCTTGATAATTAATTCATGTTGTGTCTACCAGGTTTAAATGCCATAAAGTCACTGTTTTTTCCTTTTGTAATTACAAAATGAGCTGATCTCATAAAGATGTGTGAGGCGATATTGTGAGACAACGTAAATATCCTGTTTTTCATCATATTTTTGCCTGCTTAAAATTAGCATCTATTGAGGATTCTGGCCTGAATAATTATTACTGTGATATTTGCCAAATAGTGGTTTTCAGTTTTTAACATTTTCTGTACTTAATAATTGAAATCTAATATAGCAAAGTACTTCACCTCTGTTATTTACTTATTATCCTTTCAGTTATTTATAGCAGTATGGAGTTATGGATATTTGTTTTATTCTATGAGTTATAATGAGTTTTGCTATTTTTACTTTTATTTTTGCTGAAATTACCCCAAATTTGGCCAATGGGAGGTACTTCCACTTGGCTTCTGTGTCCTTTCAGTGTGTCCCTGCCGTTTTTTGAGCATTCCCTTACATTCTGGTACTACAAGATGTTCCAGCCTCATTTTTTCTACTTTCACTGCCCCGACCCTGGAATCAGCCATTTTTCTAGGGATGCCTGATCCTTTTTATTGGATAATGGTATTTAGAAGTCAAGGTCTGGGTGCCTGGTATGCTCATGGCTATTGAGGTGTCATTGGTTCTATACCTTCTCAGCAGACAAAACTAAGAAATAGATGTATATATACACAGATGTATATCCATGTATTTATCTATTTTTTTCAATCTCTCTTTGTGTATATTTGTATTAAAAACCATGTATTTGTACTGATATCACTGATTTCCAATCCAAGACCACAGAATAAAAATATATCTTTGATGTTGTAGAGTCTGGTGTCCCTCTGCAGACATGATTTGTGGGCTTTGGAGAGGTCTTATGCAGAATCTTTAAAAACTTGGCCTCTGGAGTCAGACCTGGAATCTGACTGGTAGATGTGTTACCTTCAACCAAGTGGTAACCTCTAAGCTTTAATTACCTTATTGGCAAAAGGGGATGGGTGGTACCTATGTCACAGGTTGTTTTGAGGATAAAATGAGAGGAGTTATGTAAAGCATTTAGAATAGTACTTGGCAAATCGTGAATAAATTTAAGATTTCATTGCTGTCATTATAAGTTATTGACTTGTCATTTCTTAATGCATTAATAATAATGCATAATTCTCTGCCTGATTTTCAAGGTCTATAGTGATCTTTCCCTCCATCCGACCTTGTTTTTCTTTACTTTTTACAATATACCGTCTCCATTCTAGTCTAGGTGAGCTTTCATATAATACCTTGAGCACTACATATGTATTTTGCCTCTCTATTTTTTAAAGGGGTTTTATTTATTTATTGGATAGAGAGAGCACAAGTAGGCAGTAGGGAGAGGGAGAAATGGGCCCCCTGTTGAGCAGAGAGCATGATGTGAGCTCCATCCCAGGATGCT